TCAAACACTTCATACACATAACACACATGTACAGTATACTTCTACTTAACCAAGACCTCCGACTTTTAGTCCACATTTTACCTCCGAAACCAAGCGATTGCCTTTCTACCAAAACTTCACAAAATGCACGACAATATTCCCCTCTGTAGGAGCTACAGATCCCTCGGAGCGAAGCGACGGGATCTGCTAGTCTTGTAAATAATAGGTGGCGCAATTGTGATTATATAGGCGCCGATGATTCCGCGTTCAATAAAGTAAATTCAGTGGTGATGCAAATACTGAAGGATGGGTGTTGTTTTGCGAAAAGACACTGCGTTAGTACTCGTTACTCACGAGTTGTTTACAAGTGACTTGCGACTTCTTTCCGTATAGAGCTATGAGTTCAGCACGAAGAGAGGATTAACATGAGTGGACAGCTACACGCGCCGTGTGCGACATGCGTGACGTCGATCGCACATCTACTGTCACTACGCAGCGGACGTTTTCATGGAACAAAGTATTGCTTGGTGAGCCTTGAAGGCAGTAAGTGGAATACAACACCTTAGACGAAAGGTTTGAGTCGAGTTGAGTATGTGCAGTTGAATGGAATAACCCAAAGATACGGGCTGAACTAGGGGGACACCTGAATCGCAATGTGCTCCACAACTCGATACTTGTGGACCACAAGTATCGAGACCGATATTGGAATACACGACGTCATGCTCCCATCGTTCCTTCTTGGCAATGCGAGGTGAAAAATCGCATCGTGCCATTGTATCGACGAATTCACCAGAGCTTCGTATAGCACTGTGATTATTCGGATCTGCACCACCCCAGACGTTCAAGTACTCGTGGCTCTCACGCCTCAGCAGCGTGGTGTTATGCGTTTCACGGATGAGTACGTGAATATTATCCCCACGAATGTACCAGTGATATCCGATTCGGTCCCATTCAGCGCTGTCACGTCTCGCCTCACCCGATCACACTAATGTTAGTCGTACCAAGTCTGTTAGTCATTACGCTGGCCCATATTAATCGATCGTTGTCTTCACTTGTGGTATTTTCGTGCACTTTGCACTACCACTAAGTCGAGGTTGCGTTATTCTTTTACAAGATGTGTTTGCAATCCGATCCATTCCAACACTCCGTGTTGAGCAATTGGTCACTTCTTGAGTCTATTAGCGGTTGTGGGTGGCTAGTAAGGTTTCCTTTTGAGACGGGCCCTACTCACCTTGGACGACGCTTCTTCGCGTCTCAACCCGATAAGCATCCGAGACGTAGTTATGATGCAGGTGAATTCTACTATGTCAGAGTGCAATTTATCGACCTCTGAACCACCACGAGCTATATCGAGGACTAGGGCACCTCTGCAGTTGGGTGTTCAGTTGACTTCTCCGTTTTTTGTATGGATTCGAAACTTGTTCTGCGTGACTCGGGTGGTAGCAAGGCTAGCGGCTTGATGAGCATCTCGACAGAGGCTCCTGTGGCCCAAGACGCTGTGTCGTCGACCACAACGGCTGGCACCGCCTCAGGAGTCCATGTTTCGCTGGTGCCAACGACCGACCGAGGAGCAGTTGTGTTGTCGCGAGGCGTCCTTAGAGACTCGACTGCGTTCAAAAGGCATGTTGAATGGAAGGACAAGTTTCGCAACAGTTCGGCCTTATGGATGCGGAATAAAGTCGAATATTTCCAGGGAGTTCCTGGGTCCTTGGGGAGCTATCAGTAATATTAAACGGGTCGTACCTCTTGCTGAGGACTGCAATACCTTGGGAAAAGTTTTTCTCGCGAGAGTCGGATCGAGTGAACATTTGTCTGATTATACGTATAGGTATTGGTTGGACGTTTCATAGGAGCATTATCAGGTATTCATCTGGTCCTCCGTGTCGATTTTGCCCGACTCCAAAGTCAAGCTCGCCAAATCCGGACTGGCGGGATAACGCAGTGTATCGCACAGAAAAACAACTAAAAGAGGATGAGAAATCACATGCTGCTAAAGTGAAACGGCGATTGCAAATCGATAATCCCCAAATAGTTGACTACTTGAGGGAGTTGGAGTCGACTGACGGTGGTGGCCACCGCAAGCGGCGTTGTCGAGAGAGGAAAGAGGGAAAGGCTGCGGCTAGACCGTGATATGTATTATAGCAACAAACGTGCAAAACCTCGAGGAAGAATCGGAGATTCTAGTTGAGTAAATTGTCGGTTGATTTTATTGTTTACCTCGTAGACTGACAATACATCCTTGGCTACTTTCCGAGCAATTCCTCATGTATATA